AAATTTTAAAGGTAGGGTCTCTTTATTAAGATATTTAGAAGGACTTCCAAATTTTATACATAAACCAAATTCTTAAACCTAGGCGGGGCTGATGGGGCTGACGGCGGCACAGTACCTCACTTCCGGTCCAGAATTGGTGATGCTTCACAATGAGTGTTAGGTTAAGGCATTATTAGGCATAAGAGTCGTCTCACAAAAACTAGACAGTTAATATATATAGGATAGACGGCTCTTTATCTAATCTATCCCCCTCTTCTACTCTTTACTCCACACTTTATCCCTTCTACTCTTTTTCCTTTCTGTTCTTCGTCTGCTGGATAACCGATACATCCGGTAGTGAAGCGGACGTAAAACCTATCAATCAATCAAGCCGGCCAGCAGATTGAAACCGATCACAGTGTGATACAGACCAAGCTAACAACGGTAGGTTTATATATGAAGCCAACTATAGCTAGGTAATATATATGCCCAAATAGCGTGTAGATACATTAAAGGCCTGAATAAGGCCATACTATATCAACGTCAGCGGAGGTGGTCTGTGAGACATGCGCGTTGGCTACCACTACTTACAGCGATAGGTAGAGAGGTGATCGGTGGAGCGGTGTTAGTGTAGGTGGCGGTCTGGTGTACAGGTAACCTACACGGCGCTCCGACAAGCCTCGCATGTATACATATACACAGATCTAGAAACGCGGTTGGTTGGTAGCGGAGCTGGCAGAGCGGCGTGGTGACCAGAAACCGTGCATTGTTGTAGCCCGCCACCGCGGTACTAACAACACTGTTGACAGCAGTGTGTGCAGCTGCGCCTTTACATATATGTAAGGTTAACGATACGTTGTGGTCAAATAACCACTGTAAATATCTTCATGTTGCTTTAGCATGCCAGGGCGGCATGTAGTTGTAGTAAATCCGATACATATATATATTGTACTAAGGGGACGGTGTAGATATCTCAAATCCCAGGCAGTGACCTGGTAACGAACCCCCTTACACGTCACATAAGTCTTGATAAGCGCTTCTACATACATACATATATATATGACATTATTTGTTTCGTTCCCGACTTAAGGAATCTGTAAATGCCGTTGAAATTGAAACTTACAGGTTCTTTACAAACCAACGACTTATTACTACAGAACCACACAACAGTTCACAAAAATAATATCTAAACTGAGCATGACGTATGGTATATGATATATATTCTCTGATAATACTCTGGTCCAAAGATTCCTCTTAAAATCCTCAAGTTTGAACTCAGAATGTCTTTATCTAAATAGAAGACTTGGGTATTCCCTCGACCGATGTGAGTACAGTAGCTAGCCATCCTAATTATAGAGTCCAATAATCTGAGATCGTGCCAATCCCGTCCTCAATGCTAAAGCGGTTACGCTCACTTTCACTCTCCGCAGCCCTTGTATATATCAGCAAAATCGAAGGCAAGAAGAAAGCTGTTTGATTGGTCTCAGGTAAAAACCAGACCAATCGCTGGGCTGTTACCTGTCATTTTAAGATTGCAGAGAAGCGATACCCGACTTCAAAGACTGTCAGTTTTTACCGTTACTTTACTGCGAGATTCTTTGAGGTACATCAATGGATCGAACTAGTCTTCTTGTTTCATCCTCAAGGTGGTGCACACTGATCCTTCAACTTTGCTATGAAATATTCCAGTGGTGCAGAAATCAAAAGTGAGCGAAACCATTGAAGTATCAAGGATGTGCCAATCCTTACCTTTTAATAACCTTACGTATATCTCTCACACCCACCACTCATCTAATCGTTAATCTTAACGTTCCCTTGTCCCCTCAATTATCATCTTTTCCACTCTAAATATAGCTCCTTCACTAACATTTGAACTCATCTAAAAATATGCTGATCACACTTAGTTTGACCTCATGTTAACCTCCTACTCTAAATACGTTGTGTTATATACAAAGACACTGACGAGAGCCCGATCTAGTCATGCACATGTGCTGTCTATAGCAGCCCCAGCTCCCTTTTATTCTGTATCCTTCTACTGCCTAGCCCTAAACTCCCAGCTGTTCAGTGCTTGACTAATTACCCTGATAATTAACCATATTCAATCAATCCACCTTTCCTATTTCCCTTCACTCGAAATGAGTCTTTAAAACTAGAAACAAGTTCTTATAAATATTCCTCATGTTTGTGCCTTCATTATGCCATATAACCCACAAGCAAAATAAATGCATTGTCAACCGAAGTTCAATTTATCATCATCTTTTGATGCTTAACACAAAACAGTTAATTATATTTGTATCACCGCTCGGCTTTCTCGAAGAAGTCGTTCCTTTAGTTGGGTAAAAAGTTGATACATGTAAGATTATTTTGATGAAATGATCTTCGAAGTTTGAACTTAACATTTGTTTTGTTTTTTAATTTCTCATTTGATTCATTCAATTTGCAGTGTCATGACAGAACTGTAACCCTTTTTTAGTGGTATAACTATTCATGGTGTTTAGATATTTGGATAATGATTTGTTTGAGCAACCCTTAGAGGAAACGAGACAACGTTTATGAAGCTTCTCATCGAGATTTGGAGTCCTTATCTTGACTAGTTTTCGGAAATATTGTGTAACAAGAGAGTGATTTGCTAGCACATTGTCTAAGAAAAACTGGTAAACGTGGGGGGTTTCTTAGTAAGATGAATGTCTGCCGACATAGGTACGTACTTATCGTTGAATATGTTTTTAACATCTTAGTCAATAAATATAGAACTGCGTTTCGTTTTCACTTTGTATTTCAAGTTGCAATTTGTGGTTCGAGTAAATGTATGCTTTGTTTGGCTCTCTACATTTACAAGAGACATTTTGAAATAATTGCTTTCATATTTCGTTTCTAGATTTTTGAATTGATTTTAAAATGATGGGCCAAACGGACAATGGTGATAATACATAAATTAGTTGCGACTTCAGATATAACATTTTCTGCGTGTGACATACGTGTACAATGTGTATGTATAGTTCTTTAAATCTATCATATCACTATCGTTACAGTATTTACAGTGAAGTGACTAATCTAGAGATGACGTTACATGTAGATATGTTATGTATGTGAGGCAGGTGTGTAATGTTGGGTTATATTACTATAGATCTGGTAACATTAATTACCACGTTGCCAAGTGTGTCGTACAACTACATTACATGTATGTAGCTTGTTCTGTACCGTAGCTATTCACAGCCGCATGTTCCGTTTTGATCAATTCAATTTCTTAAATAATCAAAAGGCATGATTAACCAAATGCAATATCCTTATCTGACATCGCCAATGGCAACAGATTGTAGTAACCACGCGGTTTTGTCTACATACCAACTGTCCATCTCAGAAAGATGTGGTCAAGCCATTACATTCTTATATGTGACTGATTTATACGTTAAGTGATTTTTTTCTGAATATATCACCTTGGTAGAGCTGAACATGCCAAGACTACTCAATCAAGAAAAATGAACTTAGTTCCATCATGTGCCTAGTTCTGCTTCTATCCTTGAATCCTATATGTCTACTCATGTACATGCATGCTAAACATTAGTCAACTTAAATCATCACACTTTCTATATTTTCTATATGGGACGATTTTTATCTATGGAACCATCACAATTTAAAATTAACTGTCCATGGTGACAAATTATTACTAATACTGTTGTAAAAGCCGTTGACGCTTTTCTAAAAAGATTTTTATTCAATATATACGACCCAGTCATTCTTAAATTTAGATGATGGTAACCGCCTCCCCATTACTTCCGGCGATGATCTGGGTCCTTTGAAAGCTTTTTTTAAGAGATCTGTGACACCAGAAAGGAAAACAAACTATCTTTCACATCACGATCAAATATATGACGCACCTTGAATTCATGTGTTACAAACTGTTCGATGTAACAATAATCCAAGGGAGGAATTGGAATAGGATGTTCCCAGACGTACAAATAAAAGCTGCAGGTTTCAAACACCATAAATCTGCTAAGTCACATATGGAGATGATATACTATAATGTCTGTTAGGGGCCCAGTTCTTCTAGAAGGAGTGGCGATCTTAAAATGGAAAATGGAGCAGAAGAACTTACCATCAAAACACAGTAAACAATTCAAAACTTGCGATGAAATAGGGTAATTGCTCTCCAAGTGATGACCAATTTACTTTCTTTAGTACATGTAACTCACAAAACAAGAAAGACAAGTGCACAGTTTGAACGTCATTTCTGTCCTACTTGAGGATATGTATTTTAACATTGAAGCTCGTGGGGAAAGTAAATCGTTAAGCGGTACAGTGTATGTTTGATATTAAAACCAAGTGAATAACGTAAAGGGGTTATGAAAAACGTCACGTAAAGTTGATGTGTTTAGCTGTTGCAATCTTCTCACACTAACATTCATAAGAGTCAGTATGCAAAAACTGTATCACACACACACACAAACACACAATTTCTACTTTATTATTGTTGTGACAAAAATTGGCAAGGGTTCCCCTATCTAGTTGATGTATCTCTCACGAGATAAAAACGATTAAATAACGGGTACAGGCACGGGAACATAACCCAATCAGTGTTTTTAAATGAAGGCAAGGAAAAGAAGTACATTAGTAAGATTGTCTAAAAAAATACCAACAACTCTTGATAACCTTACCAATGACAGTATGATGAAACCAATTACAAATATTGTTAAATGTATTGCGAAGAAATGGTTCTCCCAGATCAGCTGAAGGGACTTTTAAAACGGAGAGCCCATTACATAGCTCAATTACATACTGCCTGCTTCATCTCCTGTTTTGCTCCGATAATTCCGCTTTGGTTTCGTTAGACAATTCATTCTCGATCATTGCTGTTTTCCAGGAGTAGATAAATGTCTTGTCTATATAGTGTCAAATCGGCTTTGATGTTTTTTTCCAAGGACCGTGTCCCGACTGACCTCTTTTGGACAAGCAGTAGAAAAACGGCCCCTGATCGAAAAAATATGGTTCGATCGATTTGTCCAGGACTTCGGCCGTGTCCCAGCTGACCTCCGGGGGATTTGTGCTGTTAAACTCATCCACTGTTACATATCACGCATAAAGCATAATTGTGTATTCCAAGAGAAAAATAGTATGTCGATTGCACGAATAGTAAAGTGTCCAGACGTGATAGGTCTGTTGAGAAAGCTACACTAGAATGGAAGAGAGAGAAACACACCTATTAATTGGATTAAGGACATAAAGACGGAGGCAAACCCTGATAAGTTTCAGACGATAGCTGGAGTGAAGAAAATAAACTCTCTAGAAACTACTGTATTCCACATCGGCGATACCGTTACACATGCACAGAGTGACGAAGCTGTCAAACTCAAGGGAGTCACCACATATTAAGTCTATGCTTAATAACAGGTTGGCAAACAGACACTTCTAAGAGAGGATCGGGGAATATCTTACCATTATGTCGATTAGAATGTTTGAGTTATGACATAGCACTTTACTTAAAGATCCCAGTGTCAATGCAAAATAACAAATTAAGCATGGACAATATTTCCTACATGACAACAGCTTTGATAAATAAATTCTGACACGGGAAGAATACCTTCCGGAATTCTCAGATAAACATTCCAAAACAAATAAGGTAGACAAACAACAATGCTCTGAGTGTTAAATACATTGGGACAAGACAAATATTCGAACCCTGATCCTCATATTATTATTTTGTATCTCTCTTTCCAAATGAGCTATCACATATTCCACAGGAGATGTAGTGGAGGGTACTGTATGTATGAAAACCTTCAGAAGAGTTCTTAAATGTTTTGTCTGAAGTAAGGAAGGGATACTTAAAATCGATCGCCGAGATGTTATAAGAGCCTTATTTATAGAGATAGTCACTCAAGCTGCGGGACATTTATTTCCCAACTCTCCATATTTCAAGGTCAAAACATAAGTGCTTGCATGTGCCAGGTCTCGAGTTAACATCTTTCTTTGAAAAGGTGGCAAGTTAGCCTTAATGCAGAACATAACCCACACCTTATCAGACGTCTAAAGCTCACATTTAATCCCACTGACGAGATCCAAGGAAAGTCAATGGATAACAGAAGTTGAAAAGATTAATCTTTTGCCTACCGTATCATTCCTACCTGAATTACATGTAAAACGAACAGGGGTAAAATCCACCGTCAGGCTTTCTATTCAGTTTTACTGTTACACTCGCCATATTTTAAACAAACCTTTCAAATATCATAGTAATTACAGCCGGGTTTACTGATAAAAAAAAATCATAAGAAAAATAGTACGTTTTTAATGGAATTCACATTAAGGGATGAAAAGGGTTCCTGCATGCAGCTGCCTTTTTTAACTACTCTTAGACTGTACTGAAGACTCAGCAATCAAAAATAACATCTGGGTACAAAAGTTCTTTATTGTTCTTTATTTCACAGAATCGATCACAGTAGACGCTGCCCAAATTCCATGTTGGATGAGAACAGAGTAAAAACTGAAAGGTTACAGAAACTATCGTGACATTCAGGCAATATCTACATGTATGTTTACATTTGTATCCATAATTCTGGAAGTTCCGGCTCCGACTCTAAAATTAGTGTAAAACGAAACTAGAATTTATACGATACATTTCACTGCTTACATAGCTGGCATTTCGATAAATTCACCATAGAATAGCATGACACATCAGCAAATATAACCTTTACATGACAAATAACCTACCCTATAGGCCCTTGGTGACAAATCATAATATTTCTGAGGATATTGTTCTGGTTTCTAGCAGCGGGGGTTGCCGCTTCTTTTACGCACAAGCGTTCTGGAGACGTAGAGGGAGATTCTAATAGCGGAACCAACTAAAGTCCGGAAATTGGTAACACGACACTCCCGCCCGATTGCTCGGAAAGAGCAATACCTACATCACAATTGTCCATGGTTTCAAATTAGCACACAGTCTGATATCAATTAATAGATGTCAACTTGTCCATCAATATCGAATGGTCCAACCAATACACATACTTATATCTACATTATTATATATCTAAACTAGAAAAAGTGTCCGATATCACTATAATCTACAATGTGAATTTCAGTTCACTCGCTGAGCAAATAAACGAGTTCAGTAATTGGTCTAACTAACGTTGTAGTTCTGTCCGTTCTGGCGAAGCGGAGTTCGACCTTGCGAACAAGCCCATCTGTGCCGGGGAAGGTGCTAATCACCGTAGCCATAGGCCATTGACGTCTGGCCTCGGAGGCTTCCTTGAGAAAAACGACGTCGCCTTCTTTGAGATTGTCACATTCATGTTTCCATTTGGTTCGCGTTTGTAGAGTACTAAGATAGTCTTTGCTCCATCGCGACCAGAAGGCATTGGCTAGGACTTGAACCTGAGCCCACTGATTACGGTACATGTCCTTAATGTCAAGGTTTCCAAACGGTTCGTGACAAACGTAGTTCTTTTGTGTCAACAACGTCGAAGGACTGAGGATAGTAGGAAAGTCTGGGTCGGATGAGACCTGGACGATAGGTCTACTGTTGATGATAGCGCTGATCTCATGCATAAGCGTGGATAAGACGTCGTGAGTGAGGGCTTTGTTTTTTCGTTCAAGAAGAATAGCGTCGAGAATGCGTCGCGAGAGCCCAATCATACGCTCCCACACTCCGCCCATGTGCGACGAATGGGGAGAGTTGAAGTTCCACGTAATACCGGTATCGAAGAAGTACCTCTTCACTTGTTTGTCCTCAACGTTGACAGCGTTGATGTGAAGGGAATCTGTGGCGCCTACAAAGTTGGTTCCTCTGTCGGAGTAGAGCTCCTTGACCTCACCGCGTATGGACGTGAATCTACGAAGGGCATTGATAAACGAGCTCGAACTCATGTCCTCCAGAACCTCTATGTGGACTGCGCGAATAGCCAAACACGTAAACAACACAGACCATCGTTTCGAGTTTGCGACACCTCCACGCGTTTTCCTAGACACAATTTGCCATGGTCCAAAGACGTCTACTCCAACATGAGTAAACGCGGCTGACGCAGTTATCCGAGCGGTGGGCAGATCTGCCATCTTCTGGGTTTGAAGGTGAGCTCTCAACTTACGACAACAAATGCAAGCGTGAATTATAGATGACACAGCTCTCTTACCACCTATAAGCCAGAACCCGGCTGCGCGAACGGATCCCTCAGTGTAGTGACGTCCTTGGTGCTTGACCATCGAATGGTAATGTCGGATAAGAAGAGTCCCTACGTGACTTTTTCCGGGAATGATGATCGGATGCAGAGGAATTGAACTTGACGTGTCTTCGAGCCTGTTCATTCTACCTCCCACCCGAAGGAGGTCGTTGTCATCCAAAAAAGGTGTCAGGTTGATAATCGAACTGTTAGCCGGGAGTTTCTTGTTGTGACGGATACATTCAATCTCTTTGCAGAAAAGTTCCCTCTGCATCTGCGATATCACAAAGTCGGAAGCTTCTTCCATACAAGTCCTTTCCTAAGGGCGATCACAAGAATGCCATCCTTTACACGTGCCTTCGGGGGTATGGAACGACTTTGCGATGTGAGTGAGGTACGATATCGCACGCACAAGAGAGCTCCATTCAGAATAATTCTCAAATTTCTCGACGAAGAGCGAGTTTCTGGTAGTTTTGTTCACTACGGCACTTTTCGCGGAGTGTACCACCGGTCGAATCTCTTTGTCTTTATGGGGCTCTACGAGTGCAAACTCAACAGAAGGCGGTGAAACGCTGGAGTTTTTGAGTAGAAAGACTGGTCCATTTAGCCAAGCACTGTTCACAATTTTAGACGCGCGTATGGAACGTGACCCTTCGTCGGCGGGGTTATTATCGGTGCCTACGTGCGTCCACTGTATCGGCTTTGTAGTACTTCTAATCTGTTGAACTCTGTTTCCAACGTACACATGAAACCTTCTGGAAGTGTTAGAAATGTAACCTAATACGATCCGACTGTCTGTATACAGTTTGATGTTGTCGATTTCTGTTTTAAGACTGGTTAAAACGGTTTCCAGGATCTGACTACCTAACACGGCCGCGCATAGTTCCAAGCGTGGGATTGTGTGTCCCCCTGACGGAGCGACCTTTGCCTTTCCAAGAACAAACGACAACGAGACATGTCCTTCCGCGTCGATAGTACGGAGATATACGACGGATGCAATGGCGTCGTTGGAGGCATCGGAGAACACATGTAGTTCTTTGCGGCTTTTGTCTGCTAGACCTCCGGCGTACGAACGAGAAACGTTAAGCGTTTCCAACTCCTTAAGAGACAATTTCCACTGATCCCATTCGTTTTTCAGTTCTAAGGGTAAGGGATCGTCCCATTCGAGGTTTAAGTTCATGATTTTTCGGAAGAACAGTTTCCCTCTGATTATAACGGGTGCCAATAATCCAAGAGGGTCGTAGAGGCTTCCGATCGTAGACAAGACGCCTCTTTTCGTAAATGGCTTTTCTTCAGAGGACACTCTACACGTAAACATGTCTGAGGCGACATCCCAGAATATTCCGAGGCTACGTTGTAACGGAGGAACATCCGCACCAAGAGTAAGGTCCTTGAGGTTTTCAGCGAGATCGTCCTCCGGAAAGGATTGCATTACCTCTGCGCTGTTCGACGATATTTTGTGTAATCGTAGGTTGCCTCCTTCCATCATGGCAGTTTGTGTTCTTTTGAGAGTGTCGATAGCTGTTTCTGCGTTGGGTACAGACAACAACCCGTCGTCGACGTAGAAATCGTCCTGAACGAAATTACACACGTCTTCACCGTATACTTCCTTAACTGACGAGACTGCCCTACGCATTCCAAATGTCGCGATCGCTGGCGACGGCGAGTTCCCGAAAGTATGCACGCGCATACGATACTCCACAAGTTCGAGTTCTGGGTCATTGTTTCTATGCCGTAGAAAGCTAAGGAAGTCGCGATCTTTCTCCTGCACGTAAAAACAATGAAACATCTGTTGTACGTCGGCCATACACGCGATCGCTTCTTTCCGAAATCTGAGTAGTATGCCTAACAAGCTGTTGGACAGATCTGGTCCTTTCAGAAGAACGTCATTTAAGGAAACACCTTCACACTTCGCGGATGAGTCGAATACGACCCTAATCTTTTCTGGCTTCTTGGGGTGGTAAACCCCAAAGATAGGGAGGTACCAACGTTCTTCAGCGTCCTATATGGCAGGTGCTAATTCGGCGTGGCCTTTGTCGAGCATTCCCGCCATAAACGCGACAAAGTGTTCTCGTTTCGTGGGGTTCCTTTTGAGGTTGACGGTTAACGAATGCGCTCGCTTCATTGCTCCGGCGCGACTACCTGGGAGTCGGGGTCGGTCGTCTCGTATGGGAAGAGGTGCTTCCCAGTATCCATCGGCGATCTTCTTCATTGTTCCTTCCATCATATCTAGGAAAGTTAGATCGTCGACAGATAGTCCTGGAACGTCATCGTTGCTCGTGCGCTTGAAGAGCGTGTCGTCGGACGAAAGTTGTTCGTCGGCGTGAAAATGAGTAGTACATGCATCGAATAGAGTAGGTCGTCCGGTGTTTAGAATCTTTGTTCTGTTAACGTTCACAGTTTCGGTTTTACACACACCACTACTACATATCTCTCCAACAATGACCCAGCCGAGCCCAAGTCGTTGGGCGATCGGGCAGCCCCTGGGTCCAAGTCGCTGGTCTAATATTCTGTGCGCGTCGATGAGATCCCTTCCAATCAACATCAATATAGGAGCGCTTTCGTCCAGCGGGGGAATATCAGTAACGAGGTCCTGTAGATGACTGTAGTGCATAGCAATTTCCGGTGTAGGGATTTCTTCGCGACCGTTGGGTATTTCGTTGCATTCGATAAGTCTGGGAATATCCAACGAAACTTGACCGTCGATAGATTCTGCGACGTAGCCGAACGCTCTCCTGCCAGATGCGGAGAAGACTCCTGCGCATGACGATAACATGTATTCTGATTCCGGTCCATATTCCTCAAAAATGTCAAAGAAATCACTGTTGGCGAGCGAGTGGTTACTTTGGTCATCGACGATAGCATACACACGTCGGGCGTGCTCAGGGTTCGATTTCGGGTAAACCCTGAGTAACAAGATTTTCGCGCAAGACTTTCCAGCGAACTCGTTGCAGTTAAGGGAAGTACAGATCGTTTTCACATTTCCGATGTCCACAGATTTTGGAGTATTTTCCTTCATGACTTCTGGTGGATTTTCGTGCAATGCTGTGCAATGCTTCACGCTTTGACATTTTTTACAGGTAACGGCTGACCTACAGTTTTTAGCGATATGTCTCTTCATCTCACTGCATTTAAAACACGCACCTTTGTCTTTCATCATTTGTTTCCTTTCGCTAATAGGCATTTTCAGAAATGCGTAACAGTCGTTCAATGTGTGAGCGGTGTTGTGTATGGGACAAGTGACGTCGTTAGTTGGTAGCTTGTCCGTAGATTCCACATCAGTTCTATACGCACTTACCAAGCGAGCCTTTCCGGCGGGTTTTCTTTCTGTGTCCTTGTCGGAAGCACTTGTAGTCTTACCGGTAGTTTTCGCGGAGTAATCGAAACTGGGATCATTAGCTCTCGATGCGTAATCGCATACGAAATTCACAAACACAGCGAATGGTGGAAACAAAACCCTGTGGGACTTTTTGTATCTGGCGGCAGAGTCTGTCCATTTATGCTGCATAAATATAGGCAGTTTAGCGACTATGGGGTTCACACCTACGGAAGAATCGTATGATGCCATAAGACAACTGTACGTGTCCTGTTCTTTGACAGATTGCAATTCGCCAAGTAGATCAGCCAACTCGTACAGGCGCTTATCACCAGTCGACAATTTCGGAAAATTGGTCAGCTTTTGACGTAATGAAAACTCTATAAGTTCTGGTGACCCATACCGTTCCTCTAACCGTTTCCAAATTTTCTCTACTGCCTTTTTGGGATCTGACGCGTTCGCGATACGTAAGCTTTCTGCGTGACGGCGTGATTCTGGTCCTAGGTACTTGACTAAGAGATCGATCTCTTCCAAGTCGGTTACCTTCAAGTCGTTGACTACGCTCCTGAAAGTTGTTTTCCACATGAGGAAAGCCTCTGGTTTATCGTTAAATGTAGACAAACGGTGCAGTAACAGGTCCTTTCGCATTAAGTAACGCGTTACGTCTGGTACGGGATCTTCGAGGGGTCTAACAGGTGACATAATGTCATATTGCAAATGTGCCTCTGGTGTGGGGGTACCATAGCGATGGCTACGCGCTAGATTGATCGGATCGAGATTGCGCGTGATATTAGGCGTAATTACATAGTTTCTAGGCGTTGGTATAATGCGAGACCTATCCGTGTGATCGTTGCCAGTCACGTTGTTTTCAGGATTTATAGCACTGGTATAGTCGTCGCGAAAAGCGTCCGGGGGAGGGTAATGAGGAATGAACTCTGGGGTATAGGGGTGTAGCACCGATTTCTTGGCGTTCACACCGTCGACCACGCTGAGACTGGGAGCTTTGTGCGTGGCAGTGCTGAGGTCCACAGCTGGATTCTCAGCGTGCTTCAATGGAGGTAGTGGGATGCCCGATTCCTGCTCACGAAGGTAACGTTCTACCTTAGCAATGGCTGGCATTTCTTCAAGGGGTAGGGTAATTCTAGGGCTCGACTCAAAATACTCGTCTATGGCCTTCAGCCCAGCCTCCGCTTCAGATAACTCCCTCCTGGACTTAAGAACTTTGAGGTCGGCCTCTATTTGCGCCTCCTGTTCGGCAAATTTTAGTCGTACTTTGGCTGCCTCGGTTTTAGCGACGAGCTTAAGGTAGGTTGAGCTATAATTGCTGGAACGACCTGATTTAAAAGACGATGTCTCCATTTTGTCGGATTGCGGTGTCCGAGTTCTCTCGAGGGTCTGCGTACCAATGCCCTGCATATCGTTATCCTGTGTCGGTCGTTCAAAGGTGTCAGGACCCTGTGTCGATCTTACATAGGTGCCATGACCCCGTGATGTTGAATCGATGGGAGGTACATCGGGGTTATTGTCGTATGGAACGTCAGCCTGTGTCGTAACCTGAGGCGGATGTGGCTTTGAAAGTTTATCGAGAGTCATATTAATTTTACACTCCAAGGCACTAAACACGTATCTGTGTGACGACAATTCTAGGGAACTTTCTTCTGTTCTATTTCTTCTGAGAAAGTCAACAAATTTGTCTGAGGCTATTTCGTAAGCCTTAAATGCTGCGATGATTTTGTCCGCAGTTGATTCTGGTTCTTGAAGAAGATATTCGAGTGGTTTTCTAAGTCTTTGTAGATTTTCACTGTGTTTTTGTAGTGTAAATTCATAGAAAACCTTACCTCCTTCTGTCTTCTTACACACGCGTGATGGAATCATGGTGCTGTTCTGATCGGGTCACCCTGTGTGATGGTCTAGGTTTTTACTGTACTGAAGACTCAGCAATCAAAAATAACATCTGGGTACAAAAGTTCTTTATTGTTCTTTATTTCACAGAATCGATCACAGTAGACGCTGCCCAAATTCCATGTTGGATGAGAACAGAGTAAAAACTGAAAGATTACAGAAACTATCGTTACATTCAGGCAATATCTACATGTATGTTTACATTTGTATCCATAATTCCGGAAGTTCCGGCTCCGACTCTAAAATTAGTGTAAAACGAAACTAGAATTTATACGATACATTTCACTGCTTACATAGCTGGCATTTCGATAAATTCACCATAGAATAGCATGACACATCAGCAAATATAACCTTTACATGACAAATAACCTACCCTATAGGCCCTTGGTGACAAATCATAATAGTTCTGAGGATATTGTTCTGGTTTCTAGCAGCGTGGGTTGCCGCTTCTTTTACGCACAAGCGTTCTGGAGACGTAGAGGGAGATTCTAATAGCGGAACCAATTAAAGTCCGGAAATTGGTAACACGACATAGACCGTCACCTTATAGTGTTTAGTGTGAGCTGCAGACTTTCAGCTTGTAGTGTTTAGTGTGAGCTGGAGACCGTCACCTTGTAGTGTTTAGTGTGAACATGAGACCGTCACCTTGTAGTTTCTATTGTGAAATGGAGACCGTCACCTTATAGTGTTTAGTGTGAGCTGCAGACCGTCACCTTGTAGTGTTTAAAGTGAGCAGCTGGAGACCGTCACCTTATAGTTTCTATTATAAAATGGAGACCGTCATTTTTTAGTGTTTAGTGTGAGCTGAAGGCCGTCACCTTGAAGTGTTAAGTGTGAGCTTGATACCGTCACCTTAAAGTGTTTAGAGTTAGCTGGAGTCCGTCACGTTGTAGCGTTAAGTGCTAGCTGGAGACTGTCACCTTGTTGTGTTTAATGTGAACTGGAGACCGTCACCTTGTAGTATTTAATGTAAACCGGAGGCTGTCACTTTGTAGTGTTAAGTACAGGCTGGAGACCGTCACCTTGTAGTGCTTATTGTGAACTGAAGACCGTCACCTTGTTGTGTTTAATGTGAGCTGCAGACCGTCACCTTGTAGTGTTTAGTTTGGGCTTGAGACCTCCACCTTGTAGTTTATATTGTGAAATGGAGACCGTTACCTTATAGAGTTTAGTGTGAGCTGCAGACCGTCACCTTGTAGTGTTTAGTTTCGGCTTGAGACCTCCACCTTGTAGCTTATATTGTGAAATGGAGACCGTTACGAGCTGCAGACCGTCACCTTGTAGTGCGTATTGTGAACTGAAGACCGTCACCTTTTTGTGTTTAATGTGAGCTGCAGGCCGTCACCTTGTAGTGTTTAGCGTGAACTAGAAACCATCACCTTGAAGTTTTTAGTGTGAACTGGAAACCGTCACCTTGTAGTGTTTAAAGTGAGCATCTGGAGACCGTCACCTTGTAGTGCGTATTGTGAACTGAAGACCGTCGCCTTGTTGTGTTTAATGTGAGCTGCAGGCCGTCACCTTGTAGTGTTTAAAGTGAGCAGCTGGAGACCGTCCCCTTGTTGTGTTTAGTCTAAGCTTGAGATCGTCAC